CAGTCGGTCGCTGCCGGGTCCCCAGGACCGGTGCCGGAGAACCGCGCCGCCACGCGCCCTGGACCGCATGTCTTAGACTTGGTCCCTTGGAGTTACAGGTACTACTTACTCTCCAGTTCTGAAAGTTGTGCAAGCTCTTGAACTTCTGCGGGACTTTGTAGCCTCCCGGGGCACTGCGGCCTTCCCCTGTCGCTGCGTCCTAATGCCTCGGATAGCAAGTGAGGCAGAATGATTGCTTGAGAAGCGAGTGGAGTCTCGCTTTCACGGTCGCGAGGGACATTGCATAAGTTAGTCTTCTGGCACAGTTGTGGAATGGGCTTACGGGTTTGACACAGGTTTCTGTGTTCTGTTAACCCTGTGATCAAGGGACGATGTTTGCCGGGGATTTAGCTCAGTGGTGCCACCACCTGTCTCAAAAGGGACGATTTTTGTGTTTTCTCGCTTCTTACATTCAGATTATGTCTGCTCCTATGTTGCTTTACTTTTTTACAGTTATTTAACCTTCCTTTGTATTTTATGCATCCCTTTGAAGTCAGTCATTTCTCACCTCTCCACGTATTCACGCTGCCCATGATCTTCCTTGTCCTCATGATTGATGAATGAAGTTTTAAACATCCTGCTGTAACTTTCTTATGCACTACTGGTTTCCTAAATCCTTGGGTCGCAAAAGTATATTTTTACTTACATTGGAGCCTGTAGCTCATTGTAAATCATTGTTTGGTAGAGATTTTGACTTGGAGGAGAGGAATTTTACTCTATTTAAGCAAGAGAATTACTAGGATACTGCTTCCTTGATTTAAAAAGTACATTTTGTTTCGACTCCGTATTCAAAATTTGACATTTTCTTGTATTGGCTAAATCAGAAGACCTCAAAATGTGGTCCAAGAACTCATGGGGTTCCTTGACACTTCTGGTTAAAATTATTTTCATAATAGTATTCAGATTTTTTTTTCACGGAGCTTGAGAGTGAATTATTCATCTTTTCACTCTCATTTTCTCAGAGGTGTACAGTTAAGTTTTGCAGAGGATATAATGACTTGTGACAGGGTAAGAGCAATACAGAATACAACAGTGTGTCTCTTCTCGCTAGATGTTTTTGCTTTGAAAAAGTTATTTTTCATGAAGAATACATTAGTTAACATTTAGTGTATTTATTAAAAAATAACTGAAAACTTTTAAAATTCAGTTACAATTTCTACTATGCTGTGTGTCAATACTTGCAATCCCTATAAAGCAAAAACTCTTTGGGTTCCTCAAGAAATTTAAGTCAGGTTTTTATAAAAGGTATATTTGTATGCGGTATATTCACTATTTTTAATATAAATTTCTATGATTTTGAACAAATATTACCATAATCATATAGAACAATTTCCTCACTGCAAATTCCCTTCTGTCTTTTTATAGTCAATCCTTCTGCAGCCCCAGTAACCACTCATCTGCCCATTAATTTTTAGGGGTATAGATAGGTTTTGAGACCCCAAACTTTAAGACTCATTTGGATATCTGAATGCTAAAGCAGTATTGTACATGGAGTGTAAAATGGTTTTTATAGTACCAGTACTGTAAGGAGGCAAAAGTGATAGATCTTAATTCTATGTATTTAAGCTTTTATGGGAATCATGTTAGCTTATTCCCTTTGACAGTGTTGGTTATTTTCAAGTCCTCATATCTTGTCATTTTTATGATCAGAATAGTTTTTACATTTTTTCTGGTTATGAATGAATGTGTGCTCCTTAGGTTTTTTTGGTCATTTGTAAAAAAAAAAAAAAAAAAGTCAATAACTTGCTTATTATCTTTTGCCTATTTTTCTATTGGGCTGTAGGTTGTTTTATTGATTCTCATTGATATTCTACTTATGTGTGGTAAAGCTATCTTTTAACTTTGTGTATAGACTTTTATGGCAGTAGATTTGAATACTTCATAGTCAAATCAATTTAATTTTTTTTGATAAACAATTCTTAATTTTTCTCATTCCTGAGATTTGTGTATTGTATTAGGAATGGCTTTCCTGTGCCAAAAATTATAAAAATATCCATCTTGTTCTTTTTAAAAAAAATCTATAGTTCCAAAAAAGGTTCTTATCTTTACCTTCTCAAGCATTTTATGCTCTCTCAGTTTTCAAATATTCTCTCCCGCTGCAATATGTCCCTACTTTCCTACCATGTATAGCTTAACATTTGTTTTGTGGACTGTGTCTAGTTCTTAAAAAATACTAGTGGAGGCCAAGAGGGCCTCATACCCCTGCCCTCTCTTCACCCCCTTTCACCCTTCCCTATTTACAAAGACTTTGTTTCCATTTTTTCACATTAAACCTTTATTAAAATAAGACATTTAGGTATTTACATCCAGTTGGTCTGTACCATAAGACTTCTGAAAATGTAATCTATAGTTATTTATTTATAATTATTTAATCTATAATTATTTCTCCTATGAAAGAAGTCTTAACTGCTTTAAAGTCTGCCACAATTGTTTTTCTAACCTCTCTTCAAGTCATATATAGTTCAGTTAAGCAAATATGTATTGAAATGCTACATCAAGCACTGTATTAGATGTTGATGATATCAAAATGAAAGATAATAGTATAACCCTAAAGAAACCCAAATTCGTTTTCTTCTTTCTTTTTTTGACAGTATTGCATAAAAGATGTACTATCCTTCTTACAGTTAATAATATAAAATACATGCAGAATCTTTCAATATGATAATTCTAGTCCACACACATTGCTATAAGGTAGGAGTTAATGAACGCATTTAGCAGTTGAGAAATAGTTTTAAAAATAAACTAAAATAACTAAAATAAAACTTTCCTAAGCTAAGTAACTAAAATAACTTTCCTAACTCACATAATTTATTAAATTATAGAGGTAGTCTATTCCTTTTTCTCACCCATTTGGTGTTCTGTTCTCTCTTTGCATGTCTATTTAATGTTCATTGTTGCTCATTATTTACACTTTTCAATAAGGAATCATTTGACATGATCATTTTCTCTCATGATTTCTGCCATTTCCATACCACAAACCAATTTCTCCTTTGTTTTAGGTATTAGATGCAGGACAGTTTGTTGTTTGTTCCTTCTTTGAATTTGTATGAGATTAGAGAGTTAATAAACTAAGAATTTATCAGTCTGGGTATTCTATAAATTGCTTATCTTTTGCCCATTTATCTATTGGGCTGTTTTATTTTATCTGGGCAAGTAGGAGCAGTGATGGTAGTATAACCTGCAGTCTTTATGAATCCTTATGTAAAAACAGAAAAGCATAAAAGTCAGCTCAGTGAATTTTCAAAATGATCACACTTAGTTAATCAATTCCCAGATAAAAATAGAACACTCATGATCTTGCAAAAGCCACTTTTGTTAAATGATTTTAAAAACCAGGATAGGGTCTCTCCAATGTGAAATTAGAAATGACAATCTATAATTAATATTTTTCTGAGTTTAGAGAATTTTGCTTTTGAACAGTTGGCAGATGGTGGTTCAGGGGATTGAATCTAGGGCCTTTATACTGAATTACCTCCTAGCCCTTTTTAATTTTTTAAAAATTTGAGACAGGATCTCAATAAGTTGCTAAGTAGTCCAGGCTGGGCTGGAAATTGTGATCTTCCTGCTTTACCTTCCCAGGGTGCTGGACTTACAGTGTGCACCACCAGGCCTGACATTTAATTTTTTTTTTCCCGTAACAGGGATTTAACTCAGGACCTTGCGCTTGTCAGACAGGCATGGCACCAATGAGGTATGTCCTGGCCCTTAACTTTTTTTTTTTAAGTGAAAGGAAAGTTAGAATTTTTGAATAACCTGACAAAATATTGGTCAGGGCATGTTGTTGAAAGATCTTAAAGTCAAGAGACCAGAGTGTAGTTCATATTCTACCACTAATGGACTGTATAGCTTGGGATTAGAACTTTATACGCAGTATTTGGTGTGTGTATGTGTAATGAGTCTCTTCCTTAGGGTTCTTCGTTTTGACTCTAAAGAGCTTTTCCTCTAAGCATCTCAATATTAATAATTTTTTTGTGTGGTACCTGGGATTGAACTCAGGACCTTGTGCTTACAAGGCAGGCATGGTGCCACTGAGCTAAATCCCTGGCCCTAAATTTTAATAATTTTAGCTTATCATTTGTTCCTCCAGAGTTGAAACTGCTTTTTGCATCTAATAACCTTTGTGATGATAGTACTTGCTTTTTTGTCTTTGAACCTTCTAATTAACAGTTTTTTATCTATTTAGTTTTCATATCTAATTCTCTCTCTCTCTCTTTTTTTTTTTTTGGTACCAGGGATCAAACTCACAACCTTGCGCTTGCAAGGCAGACACAGTGCCACTGAGTTAAATCCCTGGCCCTAAATGCCCTTTTTAAATAGAGCTGTTGTTCTATCTGCTGACTGATTGCAAATGATCCAGGACTGGAATCTGACTTCCCATTTCTAGTTTGCAAATATCTTGGTAAGATACCTAAGTGGTAACTATTTTCTGATCATCAGGTCCAATTATTATTATATCATTAGTGTTGTAGGACAGTGTGGTATTGTGTGGGCTGTCATTATGATCAAAATCTCTGTGGACTATGTTGGAGAATAGGAGAGTTGACGTAGACCTAAAGCAAGACTGTTATAGTTAACAAAATACAAAGTGCTTCTGGTTTTGTTTGTGTTTTTTTTTCAAATTAATATGGAGAAAAAAGCATTTACTTGCCTGGTTATAAAAGCTGTATTTATTTGATCTGATAAAAATGTATATTTTGAATACTAGCTGCAATTGGGATTACCACCTGTCTGTGTTTATGATAATCCAGTCATTCACCAAAATACATCTGCTTGGTATATAGACCCCAAACAAACACGCTATTATCACCTATTAATCTTCCAAGTCTTTGGTTGTGGCACCAATTTCTGTTTTTGTTTTTGTTTTTTCTCATGTTGGTTTTTACTTGATCTTTCCTACCATAATGATTCTTACTCTGGATCAGAGAATAAATATGCGGATTGTGCCAGTTACCAAGTACAGTTGTGCATTAAGAAACTGGGGAAATAATCACAGGGTGGGTCCATGTATGTGACTGTGTGCTCCACTGTGATTCATACTTGATCTAAAACACCCTGACTTGTGTCACAGATAATCTGTACATTTGTGTTGCCTACATGATTATTTTTAATAATTTGATGAAAAAGCATGTTTGAGGAATGAGAGATACATGAGGTTCTTTATTTTTCCTACTTCTGTTTTTAAGGATGTAAATTTGAAAAGCTGAAAGGTTAAAGCAGAAGTATATCAATAGGCAGTTTAAAAATACTTAACACCTGGAGTTCAGGCAAAAGCTAGACTATTCTCATGCTTATTTTGGAATTCATATCAACCACTAGCAAGCTGAATGTTAACTGTTTTGAAAATAGCTGTATTGCAATTAGTTTTTAAAATAGATACATACTGTTCAACTCAAATGGACTAAGTACAATAAAATTAAGAAGTCATGTTTGTCATATATTAGAAATATCTTTCCAAGTTTTGTTGTAACTAAATAAGACTTTTTTTAAATTGAGTTTATTGGTGCTTTTTAAGTATACAGTACAGTTACATTAATCATTGAAATCTTGGACCTTTAATTGATAGATCTTGGTTCTCAATAAAACTTTTTTTTTGAAGACAGGGTCTCACTAAGTAGTTGAGACTGACCTGGAACTCACTATGTAGCACAGGCTGGTCTCCAACTCACAGTGATCCTCCTACCTTAGACTACCCTGTGCTAGGATTACAGGCGTGTGCCACCACGCCCAGCTTCTCAATAAGACTATTTTAAATATAGCCTAATGATTCATTTTGGCTAAAGTGAGGAGTTTCATGGATGTGATTTTAAGAGAGATCATGGAAGTAGATTGTGACTCTGTGTATCTTTTATTTAACAATGAAAATAAATAGCATTTTATTGGAACACAGCCTTGTTCATTAATTTACCTATTTCCCATGGCTGCTTTCATCCTATATTGGCAGATTTGAATGTCTGAGCAGAGACTGGTCAATGAAGTCTAAAATATTTACTATCAAAAGTTTGCCAGCGTCTAGTTTACTTAGAGTAAAAACACAGATTGTCACTATGATGCACATAGGAATTACTTATGACCCTGAATTACCTAGCTTGCTTTACACATCTCACCCTTCTGTACTGATCCGGTCATTTGTACCTTCTTGCTGCTCTTCTAGCATCAGGAGCCTCTGGGACTGAGGAGATTTGCATTTGCTGCATACTCTGCCTGTCATGCTCTTCCCACAGCTTTCTACATGGCTCACTTCTTCACTTGAAGTATTTTGATATTGAAATTTGTATTGCTATTTGTATTATAAACCTCTTTACTTGGAATTAGATTCAAGTTGTAATGTGATGACTTTTGTTAAGAATTTAGGAGAAAATAATTCTATCGTAGCATTTCAAACATCCTAACTCAAGGTAGAACAGAATTTTTTTCTTTGAAATGTCAGTATGTTAAGAATAAATTGAGTTATGGGCATTTTTCTTGACGACGTGACTTTGAAAATTAGACAAATAGAACTGATGTGAGGGAGACATCCCCATCTATTCTTTTCCTAATGAAATCTTAAGTTTCATTGATTTAAGATTATTGGGTTTATGAGTACTCTCACTGCCATGATGCATCATTTTCATCCCAGTCTTTGAGTAAACACTCAGAAGAATTATACTTTGGGCTAAGAGGATTCAGTCGAAAGGGTTTCATTTTGTGTACCTCTTTTCTCTGTTGTCAGTGATCAATCCATTCAACAGATAAATCAGAGTGTCTGCCATGTGCTAGGTATAAAACTGTGTTTTATGGATGTTCTCTCATTTTAAATCCTCATACAATATGCATTACTTCCATTTTATAAAAGGTGAAATTTATTCCGAGAGAGATTAAAAAACCCTACCTAGAGGTTACAAAGCTAATAAGCAATTGTGGCTCTCTGTTTGATTTGTGACAGTTTTAGGTAGGTGAAACTAATGGTCGTGAAATTTTATGCTTACGCTCTTTGAAGTATTTCATATGTATCTTTCCTTCAGATGATAAACGTGTAGAGCATTTGCTTCGTACTAAAAATCTGTTAATGTCTCAAAATTTCACAATTTTGTCATGGAGAAATGGAGATATGACTTGTGAACAAAATGTAGAATGTGGTAGGACTCAAGAGGAATGGGAAAGTGAAACCTGAAGGGAAAGGAAAATTACTTTGATAGAATTAATCACAAATGAATATTACATGTGTGGATACCTCATGTGAAACATTTAATAAGTTTATTTCATATTGTTTTAACGGTCAAAGGAAAATTGAGTACATTTGGATTGGCTTAACAAGTGCGTGATGAGTGCCACTAATGGCAAATCTTCAGTATGGCAGCAGGAACTAAGGAATGCAGAAGACAGAGATGACAGCCAATATTCTCAGAAGTGGTCAGTTACCTTTAGAGCTGTCATTTAAAGCATGCAACCCAGGGCTAACCACGGTATGCCAGAGAAAGGGTGGCAAGGGGCGGGGAGAAGAGATACAGAAGAGCAGAGAAGGAGGGGAGAGAAAGAGGAGAAACAGGAAATGGAGGAGAAAGACTGTGTGTATAAATAGAATAGACGTGTCTACTTAAATAGGAACCCCATGGAAGAGAAGAGTGACTGAACAGGGGTATAGAGAAAAGGGGAGAATTTTGCTCTTTCCACCCTGTTCTGTGGTAGCATGCACTGCTGACTAAGTGCCAGGTCCCATTCTGAGTGCTTTAGATTTTATTTGTAGTTGATGCTGTGAGGTAGTTGACATTTTTCTTTTCTTTCATTTAGAGGAGCTGTGGTGTGTGCGTGTGTGTGTGTGTGTGTGTGTGTGTGTGTGCGCGCACGCGTGTGTGACAATCTCTATTTTACAGATGTGGGAAACAGCGGAAACAGTGACTGATGCCTATAATACCAGTAGCTCAGGAGGCTGAGGCAGGAGCATTTCAAGTTGCAGCCTAGTCTGGACAATTTAGTGAGAACTTATAAATAATTAAATAGAGCTGGGTGTGGTGGTGCATGCTTATAATCCCAGCACTCAGTAGGCTGAGGCAGGAGGATTGCCTCAAGTTTGAAGCCAACTTGTATAACATAGCGAGACCCTGTCTCACCATGCTCCCCCAAGATAGATTAAGTAAATAGAAATGGAGATGTAGTTTAGTGCAAAGTTCCTGGGTTCAATCCCCAGCACCACTACCACCACCACCATCACCACCACCACAAAGAAAGAGAGAAAAAAAGAAAAAGAAAAAGAAAAAAGTATGGAAACCAGACAACTTATATTAATGTAAAGAGTAAGTGCTAGAGCTAAGGTTTGTTCCTGGGCAGTTAAGCTCCATAATTCACATTCTTTTTTTTTTTTTTTTTTTTTCCGGG